TTAAGCTTTTCCATTTGAGAATATTAAATATAGTTTTCACTTAATAATATTATCTAAAAGGATGAAATTAATACAGAATTTTAAGATTTAGAATACATTTTTCTAATTAAAATTTTTAAAAAATGATTCTTGTAAAAATTTATTATTTGTTGAAAACATTTTTCTTAAGACAATAGTATCCTTAATATATTCTTATTTATAAAAACAATTAAAAGCTTTTCTAATAATGTCATAGTTTTATTTCATTTTTTTATTTTATGATTCAGGGCAGATTTTCTGTTTGACAAAATCAAATTGATGATTTAAATTCTCCAAGGAATCCTGCTTTTAACTAGTATAAAATATGAAGTAAATAATAAAATTATGTAAGTGGGGGTAACATGTAAAACAAAAAAGATTTTTACCAAGATTTTCTTAAAAAAAGAAAAATTTTCAGAAATAATTCCATTTGTGAATAATTCTTGAAAATTTCATTAAATCAGACAAGTTGTGAATTTTGTAAAAATTTGCCAAACACTGTTTTTAACACCAAAAAGGACACTAAAAATCCCAATCTTTGGCTCACTCACTGATGCAAGAAAAACAAGAATTTAAACCAAAATTTTGAATGTGCTAGAAAAGATTAAAAAAAAATAATAAAATAATACTTTGGTCTTTCCTCTTAATAAAAACAAACATTTTGATGATAAAACTCAAGTTTGAGGCCTTTTTTCATCATTGTATACTTTTTTTTTTTTTTTTTTTAGAAAATTTTTGAGGTTTTATATTAAAGTAATTAAATTTCCATTATTGTCATTTTGTTGTACTCAAGGCATCTCATTTATTTTTAATAATAAACTGAATATTTCTTTAAATAAGCTCAAATATAAATTCATTTTTAAAGAAAAAAAAAAAACCTAACTTTTATGAACAAAACTTTAAAAAATATAAATATTTCAGAAATGAAAATGTAAATTTGTTACATTTTCAGAAAGGTATTAAAAATGTCAACATTGAATTACTGACCAAAAGGCTTCAGTTATTGTCACTTTCAGGGTAGAAAATAGTTTTATTTAATTAACTAAATTATGAAAGTCATCAACAACATAATCGTTTCTAAAGATGAAAAAAAAAAAACATATTTGAAATGAAAAGAAAATTTATTTTTTAAGAATTTAATTGTTGAAGCTGAATATGCAAAAGAATAATCTTCATTAAGCAGGAACAACTAAGTTGGGTAAAATATAAACAGGTATAAATTGTCATTTATTTGATGAAATTAGTTAAAAGGCATATTTTGTCAGAATAACACATGAATGAATGTTTCATTGATGACCAGCCAAAAATTGTTACAATTTGACTGGAAAGTCATTTGCTATATTTACATGAGATTTCACCTTCAGATATTCCTTTATTTTTGGTATTTACAGAACTGCCTTAATTAAGATCATTTTCATTCTTTGGAAAACTCCTAGAGCAGTTCTTTGATGAGAAAGATAAAAAAAAGTTTGGGGACAATAGAATTATCAAGTTGCTTAAAAGATAGCAGACAATGATGGAACAAAACAATAACTATGTTGAAAAAAATGTTTTACTTTTGCTTAAAGTGTGTGCAAGAAATCCCTCCCATATAATTAAGACATTGAGCTAAATGTCAACACCATTGCCACTAATGTGGGATGGATTTCTGCCACACCCTGTAAAACAAAAAAGCAATGCACCAATGCATTCTTTTTTTCTTTCCTGTATCCATAATTTTAATATATCACAATTTTTACATCTTTCTGTCTCAATCTCTACTTCATTGTTTCTTTATATTTAATCAACAAGTGTGTGTCTCATCCATTTTTGATTTTTTTTTTTTCATTCTTCTGGCTTTCTTTACATTTTATTTTTAGCTTTCTTATCTGCCTTCTTTTCCTTAGTTCTCGTTTATTAAGGATATTAGTAGGAAACTATAACCGATACCAGCACAGAAGGGCTGGGTGGGGGTTGATCAGGCACAGATACTACACTGATCCTAGGTAGAAAACATTCTGTGAATTATTTCATTTTAGAGTACAATTTGGTTATTGTATACTGAGTGTTTTGTCTATATCTCTGAGATGAGGTATTATGATTACTTACATTATTTGGACTGTTATCCTCATCTTCATTGCTATATTCACAATGTTTTGGCTGTTGTACATGCCAGCCTTTTTGAGGTGATTGGAATTTTGAACCAAAACCTTTATTTCATCCACCGGTATAGATTGTTCTAGTTCCACGTGCTATGCTTCTTGTGGATTGCTCTGTTATTTCCTTTAACTCAACTCTCCAAGTTTTTGGTTCACCACTGCTGTATCCTGGTATTGAACTCACAACTCTCTGGGTCTAGTCACTGAGTTCAATACCAGGCTACAGCAGTGGTGAACCAAAAACTTGGAGAGTTGAGTTAATGGGAAATAACTGAGACACCCAGAGGGGGCATGGCATGTGGAACTAGAACAATCTATTCCGGTAGATGAAATAAAAGGTTCACTTTGAAATTACAATGACCGAAACGTGATTATGGCAATGAAGATGAAGATAACAGTCCAAATAATGTAGAGTAAGTGTTTTATTTCAATATTTTTTTCTAACTTTCAGAGAAATTGCTTGTCGTTCTAAGAGATGGACGTACACTTATTGGATTCTTACGCAGTGTAGACCAGTTTGGTAAGTAATTGTTTTAACACAATATATGCGTGCACACAGAAGATTCTTTCATATGGTAAATTGGATGCAAAGAATAAAATAAAAATATCTCTTTTCAGCAAACCTTGCCCTGCATCGTACAATTGAGCGAATTCATGTGGGTAAAAAGTATGGAGACATTCCTCGAGGCATCTTTATTGTTCGTGGTGAGAATGTTGTACTTTTAGGGGAAATTGTAAGTAACCCTTTTTTTTCTGAAAGCAATTATAAAATTTTTTAGATCCCCCCCCACACACACACACCAATTGATTAGAAATTCAAGGATGACTTCTTTGAAATGTCTTCTAGAATTTGTCTGAACAAGAAGTTTTGCTTTTCATTCTCACTATCAATTTTGACATTTTATAAATGTTCCTGAAATAATGGCAATTCTGGATCAGATTTAATAACCCTATTTCATCTACAGCATTTTTCTTTATTCCAGATCACTGATGGTTCGTTTACTTTTGATCACACATTAGAAAATTCTGTGCTTATTTTTGTTTGTTCTTTTATTGTTAGCTTTATTCATTTTCTGCATTGTCAAAGAATTAGTGAACCACAATAAAAAAAGTACAAACCTTGTCTAAATATACCAATATTTATATAACATTTATTTACAATGTATATTTAAAAATGGTCAGTTCATGACTGAAAACAATACTGTCTTCTTTTTATATCCATTTCTATAAATGAATTTGATGGGAAAGGAGATTTTTAGATAAACAGCTAGGAGTGGGAGGTGGGGAATCAATTATTAGTAGCAATCCACCTTCCCTACCACTGGCTGGAGAGTTGCCACTGCTGTTGCTAGTTTTTCATGGATTTTCATTGATCTGTCATTCCCTATTCTAGCACTACCAAAATGTATTCTTGGTGTTGTCACTTGGCAGTGTTTTTTTGTTTTTACGGCTATCGTAAGTCAATATCAGCAAGCTCAGAGATAACTTATGTTCTATGCGGATTTCATGTGTTAAATCCTCAGCTTTTTCAATAAAGAAGTTACAAAGGCTAACTTCAATGTATAAACTAAGAAACTGTTGACATCAAACAATGGGTTTAATGACAACAAATTGAGGAATTTCAAAAATATGTAATTTTCAGCAGTATAACAAATTCTAGTAATTCATAAATGGAGAGACATCAGAGCAGCAAGATTAAAACTGAACTTGACCTGGTTTCTTTGCTATAATGGCTGTGGTTTATATAAGAATTTCACATTCTTCTGTGATTGATTTATTGCATATTTTTCGATAACATTGATTGAATGCCAGATGTACCTCATGGAATGCTAATTCCAAAAGCCTGCCTTGGACTTGGTAAGCTATAACATGTTTGATATTTCAGAAAACCATAAATCTTGTCATACAAAGGAAGCAATTTGGTAGGTTGAGGATGATCTAGACTTACTAAATCTTATTGAATTGTATTTTATTTCTGGCTCATTTTTTTTAATTTGTTTTTTCCTTTTCTCCTTGATGTAATTAGTTTCCGAGTTTTTCAAGTTTAATCTTAATCATTTCCTGCTTTAAATTGTAATTAAGCATTCTCATGCTGTTAAAAGCTGAACCCTGTTATAAAAAGTAGAATCTTATAGCGTTTCCCCAAAGAATTAGCAGTATCTCTGAAGTTTAAATGGCATAATGTAATTCTTCTTTCAGGATCTTGATAATGAAAACCATCATGACTTGGAGCAGGTTTCAATTGATGAGATTTTGGAAATGCAGCGAGAACAGCAAGTGAAAATGCTGGAAGAAGAAGAACGTAAGAAGAAAGCGTTGCTTGAGCGAGGTGTCCACCCACACACAGATACTATTCAAGAAGACTTCTTCTTTTAAAACAGATTTGCAGCCACATACTGGCTGCTGGGTTGAAATTTAAAGACGACAGCCTCATTTGTAAAGGACAAGCTTCTGCCTTGACAATTGGGCATGAAAGAGTGGCAATAAATCAGATATTGATTCTAAAGATGTCTGCTGGAAGAGCGTGTAACTCAAAGAGAGGGAACCTGCTCAATTGTTGTGACACTGGAATTTTAACTGTATAACATCAGCTCTTCTTTGACAATTCCAAAGCCTTGCTTATTTTGTTACTGGATTCTAACCTCCCCTCCTCAACCACTCATGTTTTGTCCTTGAGGATTATTATTGCATAGCTTGCTGCATTTGTTTCAAAGATTTTCTTGGTAAAAACTACAAATTAAAATGTTTATACCGAACATTTATTTTCAATTGATTTAAAAAAAGAAAAAAGAGTTGGTTTAAAAGGAAAAAAGAAAAAGTCCTTTATTTATTTATTTCTAAAAGTCACAGTTCTGTCACTTGACACAAATTCCTGTCAGTAAAGAATCTGTGTGGTTTGTGTTTTGGCTTAGAATTCTTGGAAGTGAAAAAAGTGAGCAAAGATGCACAGCCAGCACCTGGTTTGTCATTTTCCACATTGTCATCTTCCCTGGGTTAAAAAGAAAAAAAAATTTTATAAGAGATCACAAAACTTAAAATAAAAGACAAGACTCCCCACCCACATTCCTGACAGAATTATAGGTGCCAAGAAAAATTTAATCTTTTTTCTTTTTTAAAAAAAATTAAAAGCCCAACCTGAATGAAGAATTCAGTCCAGAAGCTTAACTATTAGTCTTTGGTAATTCTTTGAATATAAAATTTTTGTTCAATTATTTTAAATTTGTATTTGACCTTTTGATTAATCCAATTTTTTTTCACCCTGCAAACATCTGAGAAACTAGCAGAACTTGATTTGTTATATAAATTCAAATAGTAAGAAACTTACCATTCTATTGGCACAGCCTTTTCTAAAATACTTGAAGCTGTAGACCAACTAAATCGCACTATTTGGGGAAAACCAAATACATTATCCATGTGCTCCTTGAGAAACTGTTTTGTGACAGGATCTGATTAGAAGAAAAAATAATTTTCAATGAATATACTGTATTTGATAGCATATAAAATGCACCTCAATTTCATGAGGGCAAATCAAGAAAAAATTAGTAAACCTACATATGGCATATAAAATGCAGGAGAATTTTAAAAGATATTTTAAGTAAAAAAAGTGAGCCTTATATGCTGTCACATATGGTAGTTTTTACTGAAAACATTTCCACAGTTGATATGGCAACATTCAGAATTCTTAAATATAAAATACTAAACTTTATTATTATTAAAGTAACAATAGTGATAGGTCACACAATGGCTGATAGAAGTGCAGACAGCTTAAGTGTTCTTTGCTTATTCAAGTCTTTATTTTATTATTAATACTCACAGGTGCATAGTTAATAAATTTGCACTTTTTATTTTTTGGATAATTTCTCTATGTGGAGAAATAAATTTATACTCAATTTAAAATGCTGTAACAACTATTGTGCAATGATGTGCCATTTTTATTGCTTTACATTAATTGAATCAGAATCACAGTGAACATTTCTGTAATAAAAGCAAATGAGAACACAGAATGGAAAATAAAAAAATCTATTTTTAATTATGACCATTAAACCAAATTTGGAATATAGCAAAAGAAATTTTTAAACTTTCTTGATTAATGAAATTGAAAGGATTGCTAAATAATTAAAGTTTTACTTCCCCTTGTGATGGAATTAAATTTAGAGTCAAAATGGCAATTAATCAATGGCATAAGATTTCATTATCATCATGATGTCTAAAGATCCCAAACTCTGTGAATCATTGGCTCAAAGTAGATCTGAAATTGATAAAACTTAATGTTTCTGGTTTTCACACTAAAGGACCCCCACTCCCATTATTCTAGGATGTGAAACACAAAGACTTGTCATGCAGTTTACCTTGATTGATTTTCGTTTTTGGATTATTGAAGAAATTTGAATTTTGGTATTTACCAAACATTATCAGTCCTGACATTTTTTTCTTAGTAGCTTTCAGCAAATAATGAGCCATAACAATGGATTTTGGCCAAAGTCTTTCTTCCATGATTGTCACATATCTCTGCAGTCTGCTGGCTGAGTTTGTGATTATTAAGGTAACAAATCCCTCCCTATAATTCTCTTCTACACAATTTAAATTCTTTTTCTTGTCTATATTTTGCAAGTATGTGTGACTGTGCCAATTTTGTCATGGGTTGTATCTGCCAGGCTTTGGATTATAAAGCATATTTATTCTCACATTTTGATAACTATTTCTAAGAGTTTGTTTTCTTGTATAGCCAATGTGATTGTACACAAATGGCAACTCAGTCTCCATCTGGATTATAGAGAATCTGTTCATAGAAAATCAATCTAGGTTTATTGACCACGAAAGTGAAAAACAAACTGTACTTAAGTGCAAATTGTGAATTCTCAATGAGTATTAACATTTCTAGATAATGTTCACTGATGGAATATTGCTGCTCTTGAAATTCTAGCAAACAGAATATCACTTATTTGCACAAGATTATCCCAATTGATGCACATTAAATGGTTAAAGCATTGAGAGAAACTTTGGCCACGTCAAGATTTGCAAAGTAATGCCAGCCATTGAGCACTGGAGTTTTCCAGAATTGGTAGCAATTGATTTAGGAAGATTAATGCAAATAGAACAGTTAGCTGTCTTCATAACAACTGCTGCTGTTGCTCAATTAGAATAATTAGAACACAGCATGATTGCAAGTGCCAGGTAAGGAACTCTAGTTGTTTACATATGAAAATGGGATTCAAGTTTGACTTGAAGTTTAAGCCTGTTTGAGTTTGAATAGCAATCCTTGTAATTTGACAGAACCTGCACTTTCAGTCATTGAAATGGGACAAATTTGATTATAGATATACTTAAGAATCATATCTTTTAGCCAAGGCAGTCACTGACGATTCAAATTGTAATTTTTTTTGTCATGCCATTAAACATTGCACAATTATAAAATGGAACTCCTCCACCTCACTTCATTGATAATCTTGGTTGAATCAAACATCTGAGGAATAAACAGTTTCTATAGCCAATGGTAATGTTGAAACCACTATCCAAAAATGTATATGGATTTGTGATTGAAAACAAGTGTTTTCTATGGGGTTGCATTTTGAAAGAGACTGCAACATGCTAATTTTGACTGGAGATTGCAAGTGTCACATTTGAGAGCATGGACTCCAAATTTGTGAACAATTTTGTCAAACTTTCTGAAATGGTGTCACATAATCTAGAAGAAAGAAACAAAAAATGCTCACATCTTAATTTTACAAGGAAGCTTCATTTATAAATCTGCTTTTGCTGGTGACAAAAGATTACAGATGAAAATCAAACACTTGAATTCTAGTTGACAAAAATCATCACATTTGAGTTTCAAAACAAGTGATATCTGATAGTGAAAAATTAGAATGATGAATGTTTGCTTAAAATTTGAGATAGCAATTGAAGTGAGTGTCCCCACCAAACATTGGTTAAAAGAGCGAGTAGATTTATGCTTCAATATCAAAAAGGTAGAAAGATTTCTGTTGTTCCTCTTCAGAAATTGTCATTATTCAATTTACCTCATCTTTGTTGGCATTTGTTATGAAGTTAAGAAAACCAATAAATTTAACTTAATGCAACCACACAAAATGTACAATAGCCAAGCAATGGACAGCCACTTACCATTTGGATAACCAGAACCATAATCATCTGTTGAAGCTGTAATGTTTTCTGGGAATTTCCAATCTTTCAAGACACGGTCACGAGTCACCTGGAATTAAAGCAGGTAAAAATTTGGCTATCAACAAAGTTTGAGGATCTCTGGTGCACATTAAGGAAAATGGGAGTGGGGAATAAAAACCCACAGATAAATAAAAAAAAATGCTTTAACATAATATTAACTATTTTCTGTAACTATTTTTGTTCTCTATGACAAAATCAACAATTTTGACTGGGTTATCAGACTCTTGGCTTCAGGGAAGTTCTTTGTCTGCTCCATGGACAACAGACTGATATATTGGTAAGCAATCAAAAGCAACCTGTGTGCTTTTTATCCCATCAATGCATAAATTAATTACAGTTAGCACTGCTTTCATGAGTGAGACTGGTGTTGACGTTGTGTCCCCCGTCCAGTTTCCTGGACATTTAGATGCTGTGTATCTAATATCTGTGCATGATATTCATGCAGAAACACTTTGTCAGTATCGACATGAAGAGACAGTCTTTGGTAAAATGATTAAACTCATTACATTTGTAGCAGATGATATTGCCTCATTGATTAATAGCCATGGTTGGATCGTCATGGGTTTCTGCTGGTAGAGTGGCTGCAGCGACAGTCTTCTCAGATTCTTTTTCATCTGTCATAATGGTGCAGACCCTGGTTAGTAGTTGGCTAAAGGTCATGTCATCCATTCTGGGTGGGGCCTCAAGTATCTGACATGGCTCATCAGTCACAATACAAAAAGCGCACACACATCATCCTGACAGTTTTTCTAGTTCTGCCAAAACACACTTATACTGTTTCACTAGGACATAAGTGTGGTGCTTTCAAGTGATCAAAGGCCACAAATGGCTCTATTGCAAACAATTAACAAGGTGCATTTAACCTGCTCAATGTTAACCTTTTGTCCCTTGCTAAGGACCCCACCCCTTTCAGGCACAGTGGAAGAACTTGTTCAATTCTTGCGATCAGGTATAGTTTACACACAAGGTCCACATTCTCAATCCACTCGACCACAGGCTGGCTAGTTCTGTCACTGATGAGTTCATGTATAAACCTTACATCAAACTGTCTGTCTGAGGTAAAACAGCAAAAACAGAAAAGTTGGGCCCAGATAGCTTAATCTGTTAGATATCCAAAACAAGGGCAATGAAAAAATCCAAATCCAGTGTCACACATTCAAAAGGCAGGAAAGATGAATAGTATAGAAATCAGAAATTACAGGTCCAATGTCAAAAGTTCAAGAGGAATTAGGTTTAAAAAAAAAAAATTAAAAAAATCTAATACATTAAACTTATTCTCACTCATAAACCAAAATTACATTTCTCCTAGTCTAGAAAAGCAACAGCTTTTATTGAGGAGGTAAATTTTTTGATTGCATGCGATAGTTGGGGAGGATAAAAAAAAATGTTACCATATGTGAGGCAGTAATTATTAAGGATGTATTTTTTTTTTTTTTTTGGCAAACTGTATATAGGACACAAACACCTGGGGGTAGGGGGAGGTGATGTTCCTGTTCACCACAGTCAGTGTGAGTATATAAGTGGACACTGAGTAGTGACATTTTGTTTCATATTTAAATGCAATCTTCAGGCAATAGACTATCTACTGAGAAGTTTCACTCATAAATAAAGCATGCCTTAAAACTATTTTTATCATTATATATCTGTTGATATTTCTTTAGACTCACCTACATGGACCTCTTATTCATAACACTTCTTTCTAGTCTACTGATTGGGATCTATTTCATGATTTTCTTCATGATGCTCTGTGGAGTGAAATTTTTAACCTTCTTATTGAGAATTAGGCCACTAAGATTTATTGGATAAAAGCCAGCCAGCATCAATGCTTTTCAAAGAGGCTAAGACTTTGTTCATTGGCCAAATAAAACAATATATAGCCTTTAACAAGTTTGGTTCTTGTGACTATTGGTGGCTCTGTATAGTGTCTTAAATATGAACAAGTCTTTTAACCATCCCCCTCTTCACTCAATTTCAGGTGTTATCATCATCTGCAAATAAAGCAGAAGGTTTCTCTTCAAATTCTACTCTTGATTCATCTAGAGTATCTTTGCCTGACTTTCCACTTAGAACTGAGTCTCTATCGAGTGATATGCCTATAATTTCAGTCATGGTTTCTGCTATCATCTCTAAACTGAATCCCCACAAAGCATGTAGACTTGATGGTATCTCTGTAATAGTTCTTAAGAAACATGTTCCTGAACTGGCTCCTGTTCTCTTGAAATGCTACAATAAATGCCTTGCTGTTTCTTGCTTTCCTGTTAAAAATCCTCTTTTGTAGTTCCACTCTTTAAGAACTCAGGCAAACCATCTGATTCTTCTATAGATTATTTGTCTTCTACCACATTTTGGCAAAGTACTGGAGGCTTTAATCAACTCTGAATTGGTTAAGCATCTCACCATACAGGGTCTTCTTTCAGAGAAGTAATATGGATTTTGTTTATCTAAGTCAACTGCTGATGTGTTAATGGCTATTGCCGAAAGAGTCAGTCCAGCTTTAGAGAAGACTGTTGACACTGGAGCTGTTGCTTTGAATATCTTGAAGGTGTAACAGGCTTGACATCCTGGTCTTCTTCACAGAGTTGAAAGATCATGGTATTTCTGAACACATTTTGGAAGATTCAATCGTATGAAATCATGAAATGAAAGTTATCTAGAATGGCCAATCTTCCAGATCTTTTGATTTAGGTTGGTGTCTACTAGGGCTCTATCCTTGGACCTACATTGTTTCTAACTTTCAACAACCTATGCTGACAACTATTTACACATGTCTTAATGGTAAGTCTGATTCGTTTAATGTGGTCAAATTAGCAGCTGATCTTAAAAATTACCTACAATCTGTTTCTAATTGGCTCAAGAAATATCTTGTTAATGCCTCCAAAACAAAATTACTGTCTTAATTATGTGAGAGAATCCGTTTTACCTTCCACCAGCATGGCTGATGCTAACCTTCAGGTAGGGTGACTCATTGTGCCTTCTTGGGTTAACATTTTCCAGTGATTGAATTGACTGCTAGGAAAGTTGGTTCACAGTGTCATGCTAGACAATTTGTCTTGCCAGAATCTATCTTACTCATTTACAAGTTGACCATTTGTCTGGACATTGAATATTGCTGACACATCTGGTCTGGAGCTTCTGCTATGCATTTGTAGAATTTTGATAGAATCCAAAGAAAAATTTATGTTATCAGTCCTGACCCGGCATCTTAGCTTTAGCCACTTTCCCATTGCCATAATGTAGCTTATCTGTGCTTTTTCTATAAATATTTTCAGGGCAATTTTTTTTGATTAGCTTTCCTCTTTCATAGCTTGACTTTATCAATTTGGCCCTTATTGTGAAATGCCATTTTCTTGCTAGACTAAACATGAACAATGAACTTTTTGCAGCTTATCGCACATTAACATTAAACATCTGAACAAACAGACCTTATTCTCTAATGAGATAGAGAGAAAGATTTTTACCTTAGCACAAATACTGGCCCCACTTACAATGGAATAAGTGGCATCAGCTTTCTTGGCAACTGTAATGTCAATTCCTGGGAATTTGTCTTGGAGTTTTGCTTGATATTTACCTGCATCTCCAACGGTGTCGACATAAATCTGAAATTGGAAAGATAAAAACAGGGAATCATTGATAATTTGTTCAACACAATGGTTAGAATGTTGGTCTCATGAAACATTGGGCTTGAACATCATCAAGAAAATGTGCCCTTGTGCCTGTCATATGCCCCAGTTGACGAATGGGTTTATATGGCGATCATATGCCGACTAGGAGATATATACATTCTCACACCTGTGGAGAGATACAAGCTATCTCTCCCAGATCGTGACAATGGACAATTGGTAAACAAAAATATTTTTAAGACCACTGTTTGATTGGGATAATCGAACAGTAATCCTTCCCAGGTCCACTTCGTTTTCAACACGAATACTGATCCACAATACAAGGATGAACTATAAGGCTTAGCGATTTTTGATACAAGAATTATGTACAAATATCAAAATAAAAGAACAGATAAGTATGAGTTAAAACATCTGATGACCAGATCTCAAAACTTACGTTGGGATATCAAAATGCGCCTAACTCCAAATGGATTCAACTTAACCCGAACATACAAAAATATAAGTATGAATTACTACGAATTGAATGCAGAAGCCAACGCATACACAAAAGAGATGGGATAGGAGTTACAATTATTGTTTTTACATGTGGAAAAGTGTTTGCAAGAACACAATATTCATGGATGTATGTATATCTTTCTACTACGGGTCCAAAATATGATTACTTATCTTTTATATTCAGTTCTCTTTTTTTTTTTTTATCATTGTCCTTTCCTTCTCGACACAGATGCAATTTCACACACTGTCTTCCTCTCTTTGTTTTGCCTTTTTCTTTCCTTTTCTTCTGTAGACAGTTCGGTTTCCAAACTTGACTCACTGCAACAGGGATGTACACTTTCTTCCTCTCTTTGGTTTTCTTCTTTCTTTCCTTCTTTACACAATTCAGCTTATAACAGAGGTATATACTTTCTTCCTCTCTGGATATCCATTTTCTTTTCTTTACACAATTCAACTTGTAACAAAGATATGTGCTTTCTTCTCTGGTTTTCCTTTTTCTTTAAATGCAGGCTGAATCCTCAGCATATAAATTTCTCTGCGTCTTCAATTTGGGGTTTTTGAACAGGAATACTTCTTGTTATATTTCTTGTCCGGAGTTGGCTGGGTTGAACTGGATAAGTTCCATCACTATCAAATGAGTCATCTTTCCGTTCATAAACTATCAGCGCTTCAACTTCAGGTCTTGCCTCTTCAAAGTCAAGATAGCAACTGATTCTCGAGTGAATCTCTGACTATCACGTGTCTTAAGTTTTGGCGCAAATTCCAGCTTACATCAGTCCCCTGTCTAGCTTCTGTCTAGACATTTGTCATCTGGTAATGGCTCAGTCAACCTTTGACCTGCCTTCCCAAAATGTCATAAGACTCCCACGTGACCCTTATTCTGTTGCTAGGCGGAAATTAACCCTAATATGTATGTATATGCGTATTTAGGCTATCTGCTTTCATCACAGTGCCACATTTACCCTTTGTTTCAACAATTTTCTATTTACCAATCCTTTTGGATGAATATTACATTTCCTTGTCATTTTTTTTTTTTTTTTTACATTTTTAGCTGATGTATTCTTGAGTCTTCTGAAAGAAGTGGGATAAAAACAAAGACAATGATGCCAGTTTGAAAGAATCTCATTTCTAAAATAGCTGAGAATTTCAATCAATGCCGGTTGTCATGACAACAGCTTCAAGCCAAGAGAGGAGGTAAGGAGGACATATGAAAGTTTTAACAATTTCCTCATCCAAAACAATGGATGAAAAAACAGATTTCAAATTTAATAAATGATGGCAACAATGCTGCAGAATAAATTGGATGCAGTAAACAAAAAAAAAAAAATATTAAATATGAACAAAAATTTCTTTTGTAATCTCAGTCAAAAAATTAGAAATGTCTGCATAAGTAAAGAACAAAAGCAATTTGAAAGAAAAAAAATCCTTGAAAAATAATTACAGTATTTGATGGCATATAAGGTGCAATTTTTTTTTTTTTTACTAAAAATATCTTTTAAAATACCTCTGCATTTTATATGCCATAAAAAAACAATGGTGATAAAGGGGGGGATTTCTTATTCTTCGGTCACCTCAAGGAAATGTATTGCATGACTCTCTTTCTCAGCCGTTACACTGGGCAGTTGTGAAACAGACACCAAACTCATCCGCGCCTACTTCGACTTCCTCTTTGTTTGTCTGTCAATTCGCACATCCAGCTCTATTGCACGCAGTCTGCTGAATGACTCCCAATTTCCCTGTGCTTTTGGCACCCGGCTTTTTATGCGGTCCTAATACAGCCGAAATTTGCATGTGTGCAAATATCGTCTCGTTTTGGACAAGATTGGCGCACATAAATTGCGTCTTCAATAACGGCCATATTTCTTTTTGTCATCACTTTGCAAGCAAGACACATTCATGCTCGTTTCAAATTCTGAGGGAAATCATGTATTTCGTCACAATTTGCCCAGCTGAAATTGGGGTGTGTCTTATATGCCATCAAATACAATAATATTCGAATGAGATAAAAGAACATTAAATGACTTTGCCATATTTTAATACTTATTTAAATTAGCAACAGGACATTTAGAATGGAAAGAATTCTGACAATATGGATTTGAGAAAAAAAAATAAGTGAAAGCATGTGAAATAATGCTTGGGGTAACAATTTTAATGCTGGTTTTAATGAAGAAGTGAGACTTAAAAAATAATGATCAATTTGAATATGCATTATGTGAAATTTGAACTTGGTGAACAATAAAGCTATCCATTAACAAGGTCAGTTTTCAGAATTAATTTGTTTTAAAACCAATGGATAACATTTTAGTTAGAATTAAATAGCAACAAAAAATAAGGTGAAGAAATACATAGGATCTCTCTCTCTCTCATATATATATATATATATATATATGAGAGATCCCAGTGTGAAGCACCTTTGCCTTTTCCTTGAAACAATGCCACAGGTTGACCCAAGCCTTGTGAATGAGATTGGGTAGATGGAACCCTTTGCTAGCATGAAGTCCCAATTCATTGTGACCAAAGGTTTGAGCATTCGGATTGTTGATCATGCGTCTGCAATAAGAATTAGCTAACTGGTCTAGTAGACAGGTATTCTTGAATACAAGTGACCAGCCATTATTATTATTATCATTATAGTAATAATAATTATATAAATATATATATGTGTGTTTGTGTGTGTAAAATTTATTAATAAATGTGAATTTCAGCTTTGTCACAGTGTCACACGTATCCAACTTTACTTCTAGAGGCCTGGAATCAGGCTGACCCTGTGAGCAAATTAAAAACATTCCAGGTCGGATCTGGACCAGCAATCTTGACATCTTGGATTCCCACGTTTTCATTATTGTGCTTGTTTTTAAATTCCACCTTGTTGGCTTCTACTGATAAAAACAATTAAAGGGACACAACTCTCTAACTTTCAATAGTTCATGTTAAAATGACAAAAAATTACAGCGTTTCAAAATAAAATTGTTGATGTTTTTAAATTTACTCCTAGAGTCTGTAGCCCAACATGTCATACCATTTTGGAATCGGGCTGACTTTTTGAGCAAATTAAAAACATTCCAGGCCAGATGCAAACCAGCAATCCTGAAATTTTGAATTCCAAAATTTTCATTACTGCAATTTCTTTTACTTGATTTTTTTTTTTTTTCTTCTTTGTACAATAACAATTTTTATAACTTGGAAATTAATTTGGGAATAATCAAAATTGTGAAATCCAGTGATAGTCAACCATGAAATAAAAATAATTGATTGTATGGAAAGTAAGGACCTACATATATCAAAATGTCTTTAAATTAGTGGTGGCAGAGGAATTATCATTGAACTTTTAAATGGTAAGCTTATATATTAATGCAATACTTAAATGCAATGATAAATTTCGAGTTCTTCTGTAGTTTATTGCTGTCTATTACGTCTACTCCTACCTACCTATTGTGATAAAGGCCCAATCAAGATCCTTCTGCATCTTAAATGCAGATCTTTAAGCTATATATATATATATATATATATATATATATATATACACACACACACAACATACATTGTTCCTCACCAGTAATACAACTGAGTGTGTATATAAGAAAATATGGGTTTATCAAAGTTAAACTATATTTTAATCTAAGGAAAAAAAAAAAACATTTCATACAAACCTCAGTGACATTAACTCCATTTGAAAGCACTTTTTCTATTAAACCAATGGCACTGTCATGAGAAAGAGAATTCAAATTGTATTTTGATCTAGAAAGAGAAAGTTATATAGTTATTAGAGATGTGATATATTTGTCAGTGAAAGCCAGTGGCATTTTGACTTTGCATAAAGAGGTAAGGTTTTCATGAAAGGAAAATATAACAAAAAAAAAAACAAAAATAAAAGAACCGAGTATGTATATTGACAGATGCAGTTCTGGAAATGAACTTGGAAGAAAATAAAAAAAAAAGATAAAGCAAAACCGAGGAGAAAAAAATTAAATGCCATGTGGAAGAGCGCCAAGGAACACCAAGAAAAAAAAATTAGTAAATGGTTGAAGTTTACATAATTGTAAATTATTTTAAAAATGATTATTACTTTTTTAAATATTTTTCTCCATTCTAATTTTTGTAATGCTCACTTGTAGGAGAGACTTTGTAAATCACAGATACAATAATAGTTGGGCCCCTGATTTTCCATTTCAAATTTTCCTTGATTCTGTTTCCAATTTTAGTAAATTACGTTTTTTCCCCCGTTTTTACTTTTGGGAAATTTAATTTTTTCCATTTTTATATTATTTTATGAGAACATTGCAATACAATATGCTATAATTATTATTAAAACTGAAAACAAAAATATAATTCAAAGTTTTATTGCATATAAAGAAATAACAAATATCTATAAATCTTTTTTTTAAATGTTAAAATCAAAGTCCAAAATAAATGATATGTAAAAAATAAAAAGAATATAACATGACTAGACAATTAAACAATGGAATGTTACAGTGCATCATTATCTTTGAGGTTAGAACTTTTAATCAGAGCTTCCTTCTTTAAGAATGCATTCAAAACACATTCAAATTGTTTTTATTTTTTTAAGTAAAAGGATTTAGATTGATTTGTAATTATTGATTCATAATATAAAAATCAAATTTAAAGTATCAACAGCAAATAAATTGAATCTCAATAATAAATATCTGAATAAAGTCACACATTTTGACTAAAATTTTACAAAACAGTAATTAAAGCCTAATAACTGAATCTTTGTAACAAAATATCAAAAAACAAATTAGACATATTAATTGAAAATTTGAATAAAACAACTTATCCCAAGTTGAAATATTGCTCTAATTCCCATATATATATATATATATATATATATATATATATATATATATATATATATTTTTTTTTTACCCATCATGTGATCTAATTATTTCAAGATGACGTTGACTGTGCTTGCTCTCTGGCGATCTGTGTTCAAACACAAGTGTTGGCAGTGACACTTTATTCTTATATAACATTAATGCGTGAATTGTTTTCTCTACAAACAGAAAAGAAACTGTGGTGTCATAAATAGGAAAGATTGACACAAATATAGAAAATAAGAAATAGTTTATTCTGGAGAATAATATGGTACACAGTTGAGAACACAGATTAATGTTAACTAACAGTTAATCATTAACTTCTCTCACTCAGTAAGAGAGAGTGCTGTTTAAATAGTTATAGACTAGCTCATCTTGTGAGGGTGTTTAGCTACTCCACAACATCTCCCTTTTTTGAATTGACTACTTCCTCTTGGAAGTCGTGCCACTTCCTTTTTGGGTTTATCTCCATAGGCCCCGTAAATTTTCTTTTTCGTTTACTCGAATGTTTCTCCTCAGGGGCTACTATGTTGAATAAGTCATAAATAACCTTCATCGGCTCTTCTGTTCTTCCTTCTGGATATTTATATCCTCTGAGTATATTTTCCTCATCTGGTTGTGATGTCTCTTAATGGTCTTTTTGAGTAATTAATTAAATACAATAATCTCCCGATGCATTTATCAATGACACCAGCATTCCAAATTTCTTTCCCATTTCTATACTCTTTAAATAAAATTTTTTCTCCTGGTATATTAGATTTTGTATCTTTTTTTTTTTATTGTTTTCTTTATTTCCCTTTGGCAACATTTTATTGAATACATCTTATTTTTCTCGTGAACATTAAATCTAGAGGTGACAACCGCAGATTAGTACTTGGATTTGGTGTCACATGATATACTCTTTAAAATTGAAAGATATCATCAACAGATCCATTTCCATCTGACTTTTTTTAATGCTTGCTTGAAAGTGTCTACAAATATTTTTGCCTGCTCATTAAATCGTGGATGATATGGTGCAGTAGTGATGTGCACAATTGAAAAACTTTACAAAAGTCTTTGAACTCTTTTGCTATGAATTGTGTGCCATTGTCTGACCCAATCTTATCCAGGATACCGAATCTGGCAAAGAGTTCATAGAAAAATTTAATTGTATCACTGCACGTAGGGTTTTTACATTTCATCATCTTTGGCCATTTCAAGAAACTGTCAACCACAATGATATTGTCCCTTCATTGGGCCTGCAAAATCTATATGCAGCCTTGCCCAAGGCTGCATATAGACTCCACATCCACTAATCTCTTTGACGGAATTAGCTTGATTTTTAAAATTATTGTAGGCGTTCTGAAAGCAAAGGAAGTATTTGTCACAGATTACTTCCACAACACAAAGAAAAATCACTGTAAGTACAGACTCGAATATCGGGTACAGAAAGAAATGCTGAAAACTCGATTCGCCGGTACTATCTCAAATCACAATGCGTGTAACCAGTCAGAAAAATAACTCACTCAAACAAACACCGTAGCCAAAATGCCTGAATTTTCCACTCTCGATTCGAGAACACCAACTGCTTTTATCGGCAGAACCCCCCTTTTTTTTTCTCATTCATCGACAGCTGCGAGAGGATGTTCAGTAATTTGCATATCAAAATACTTTTATAGCAACTCCTGCGACGGACTTGTTTTTTAATTCAAATATTCCATTTTCAGCATGTCATGCAGAATACGTGCCCTTTTGTTTGGTAAGTAATTTTCTTTTTCGACACATTTTCTGTCGTAGAATACACGCGACGCGCTGTCGCTTGGTTTGACGAGGTAAGTTGCCGTTTTCTTCGCTATAATTATAATTTTATATTATTCCCCAACTCTGAAATTGATATGTAATATGTGTAGGAATCCCTTTTGTGGAGCCAAAAATAGACAATAATGGTCTGTGTTTCGTTTGAAGCGTAAAACTTCTTCCATGAATAAATCTATGGAAATTTTTTACGGCAAAAATTACCCCTAAAGCCTCTTTTTCGATTTGACTGTACCCTTTTTCAGCTGGCAATAGGGTCCTTGACACATGTGCAATCGCATTTACTTGGCTGTTGCTTTTTGTGTAATATTACAGCTCCTAAGCCCAAATTACTAGTGTCACTTGCAATCATAATATCTTCATTTGAATCGTAATGTGCCAGACTTAAGTCTGATGTTAATATTTTTTTAATTTCCTCAAAACCACTCAATACTCCAGTTCCATTTAGAGTCTTTTTTAATAATTTGTTTAGAGAAGCTCTTAACACTTGCATATTTGGGATAAAATTACCATAGTTATTTGCTAGACCCAACAATGTTTGTAGTGCTAATACATTTGTTGGGGAGGCATGTTCTTTATCACACTTGACCTCAATGTCTGCCTTTTGCATTTATAACCTGTCCCTAATATTTAATTTTAGCTAAAAAAATTCACATTTATCAAAACTAAGTTTCAAGCCATATTGTTTTATTTTTTCAAAAACTTCTTTAACATTTTCAGCATGTTGTGCTTGGCTTTCACTCTTAATTAAGATGTTATCAAGATAGGCTATTGCAAAATCCACGTCATTCAATATCATGTCCATGATTTGCTGGAAAATGTCTGGTGTGACCTTTATCCCAAATGGCAGTCTGTAGGATCTATACAGACTCTAATCATATTTATAGTTAAATATTTTGCACATTTTTCATCGACAGGAATCTTGTGATACACCTCAGACAAATCAAGTTGTGAAAAAACTTTGCCACCATTTAATTTCATGAATATGTCTTCAGACTTGGCAAATGGTAATTATGTTCCCAAACAATAGTTAAATCCTGTAGAAAAATCACAATCTCTTTAAGTTTGAATGTTACTTTAGCTTTTATCCACTTGTCCAGACCTTCAGAAAAAAAATTTCAGGAAATTTTATCTTTAATTCTTTTTTAATTTTTCTATGGTGTTTGAATTAACATTGACACTAAAACAGAATGAATTAATTGGTTGGTTGAAAAGGTCAAATGGCTCAATCCAATCCATATTGAACAGGTTTAGGGTTCTTTTCATAACTAATCCTTTTAATTTTATAGTTTTGCCAAAAGGTCTCATATTTGTGTAAAATTCTCCTTCAAAATTTAGTTTATTTCCTGTAATACCATGAGCAATTCTTTACTTCTTTCTTTGTCATCAATAAAGTTGGTCTGCCAATTTTTTTCAAAGTTTGTTAGATCTGAACTGGTATCGAATTGGAATTTAATATTTTTATTGTTCATCTCTACATTTACAAACTTTTTTTGTTTTCCATTGTAGCTGAGTTAACTATATTTTTTATTTTTGACCCCTTTTTACTTCAGGGTTTTTTTGCAATGCATATGTTGATTTTCTGTTTGTTCACATTCTTCTATAATCATTCGCAAACTGATTTTTTGCATTTTGTTCTAATTTAGACAAAATTCTGGTTCTAACATTGCCATCTTCTGGAGCTGTCAGTCCTTGTACAAAATTCAAGCACTTAAACATATCAGGAGTAAGTTCTTTTAATTTGAACTTTTCGCACTCTCTATTGACAATCCTGGCAAAAGTCGAGTAATCCTCCCCACTTTTTTTGTAAGGTTTAAACACTGTCATCTTCTGTTGAACAGAGAACTTTTCTCCCCAAAGATTTTTTGCAGAATTAAGACAGTCTCCTTAAAAGCTATTTTCCCAGGATTTCTTGGAAGTATGTAGTTCGCATACTTTTCATATTCACTTGGACCAAATCTTCCAAGCAACAGATGTATTTTCTTTTCATCCGACCATGTAGTGCAATCTTTTTGAAAAATCTCTTCATAATGGCAAAAATACATTGCAAAAGTTACCTCCTCCTCCTCCCTAAGACCATACTTAAATTCACCAACTGAACTTATCACCGAATCCTGAGAAAAAGAATCTGCATTGCCTTGATCTTTTTCAACACTAAAAATTCAAACATTTTTTCATACCGTTTCTTTTTCAGAGCATTTCTAGTCCAAACATCGTTGTTCCTGCTGGATTTTCATGAATTCCACCATTGCTTCTTTTAAATCCACCATGTTTAATTTACTGAACAAATAAAATACTTACTTGTTTTTTAAACACATCAATCTGTTCTGCAGACTTGGAATTAATCTGAGGTTGAGTCATCACCAACAATTTCTTGGTATATGACTGTAAATTTCTTTAAACCCGAATCTTCAGTCAGTTTTGGTATTACCCTGGAAATTTTTACACTTGAAATTTTCAAATGTTGGTATCCCACTGGAAGTTTTAACATTCAAATCCCTCATGGCCAGATGTTGTTTTGTAACTAGAAAAGGTTGACACACATTATAGAAAATATGTAGTTTATTCCGGAGAATAATATGGTACATGATTGAGAACACAGACTAATGTAATAAACAGAGAATCATTAACTCCTCTCCCTCAGTAAGAGAGAGTGCTGTTTAACTAGTCTTAGAGCAGTCCATCTTGTGAAGGTGTTCAGCTACTCCACAAGACAAATAAGCAGTTTAGCCATATCAAAAAAGAACATCTGATGATTGAGAAAGCCAGTGAATACAGGGGGCTGAATTATAACAAAGATGTGAATCTAATAAATTTTAAATGTCTGTTGTTTCTGCCATGAAAATGTTAAAATAGGTTTCAAAACTCACCGTTTTAGCATGCTGTTTGAGATGAATGTTGGGGACAAGATCTCCACCATCCAGCCAAGTTTTTCTTTAGATTCTGTGCACATTTTGTCAAAGATGTTTTCACGTTTTTCTTCTGTTAGAGTCTTTGAGTCTTTGAAAAAGAAAATCAAAAACACGAATAAAATTATCTTGGAATCAGCCATCAGTTTTAGGAAAAATTACACAAAAAACAAATGTTCCATGTGAACACATCTTTATACAAAACTAAAATGTAATCCCCGTGTTTTGTTCCCAACAAAATTTACAGCAAAAAAAAAAAAAAAAAAAAAAAAAAAAAAGGGGTTTAAAATCCTAATTTAAAGATAAGAATTCTCTTGGAGAGTGACCTCTGATTAACCCCAAGAGGTATCGACAGCCAGCTAGGTTGTGTGTCAGTTTTGGAAACTTGAACACATGGTATGATGTGGAAGGATTTTTTTCTAAAATTATGCCAAATTCTCCAACTGTGCTGTGCTACATGGTGGTTTGGGTGAACATCAATAAATATGAATACTTCAAGCCGAGAAGAGAGTTTGTTTGGACAGTACATCCAAGGAGTGGCCAAAGAGCTTGCTGAGAGATCCAGGTGATTGCCTGCCAATGGCAAGAACCTTCGACATCAGCCTTGTGCCTGTTGTAGTAAAGAAAAGAAAAGACTGTCAACTTATGGTAGCAACTGCAATAGATTTCTTGTTTCTTGACCGCAACACTTGTAGCCAAATTGCAGTTCAAATGATAGTCCGTCGTAACAGTCCAACAAGCAAAGTAGAAACAACAAAATGGGGTCACATATCCAACTTCTCACGAGCAAAAATGCATGTTTAGCTTCCCAGCTCAGAAAATCTACCTTTATAAGCAAAAAAGAACAGCTTTGGTTCATCGGGAGGTCTTTCTGATTGATCACGCCATTCAGGGGAGGGGAGAACATTAGCATAGATTCTAGTCATTGAAGTAGATTTTTGCTAACTACTTTTTGTAATTTTTCTTCGGCAGATTGCACACAGAACACAAACTTTTTTGGGGGGTAAATGATTATCTCTTTCACTACAGTGCCAAATTACACGAAGACAGAAAAACAAACTTTGCCAAACCAACAAAATTAACTTTGCCAAAATCACCATAGTGTCACTTCCGACTAGAAGTGGGTTGGGTTGAGAATTGGTGCACAAGAACTTTTAAACTATAAACCAACTGCTGTACAAAGAACCGATATAAAGTTATAATTTATTGTTTTTATCCGAGTGTCATTTTAATTCAGTTTGTCATCACCCTGTCTGGACCAACCCAATGTGAGAGACCCTGATGACAATTTGATCTTGACGCCTTATGATCTAAAATCATGTGGGATAAGGCGAGATCTGGATTGAAGTGGTCACTACAGCAACCAGCTGCGAGTGTTGTGCGTCTTGGATGACCGGAGAGGGAGAGGGTGACAATTAGTGATGGCACCTATCATGAATCCATTATAAAAATTCAGAATATTGAATTATTAAATACCAAACATTACGAATACATCAGTTACTGCAAAGTAGATAAGGAAATTGTACACAGATTGGGCTGCACAAGGTATAGCTTTGACAGTAGCACTGGCTGTTCAAAGAATGCCAAATGTTTCCTGATAAGGAAATGGCTAATATTACCATGACCATTTGAATATTTGAGTGTGAATGCCAAATCCTACATAGAGAACATGGAAATTGGCAATTATTATCTGGGAGGGGGGGGGGCTAGTTTGGGCTCAGATTAATAATGTTTTATCACAAACATTGAGAGGAAATAAATTTTTTTAGTCTAAAAAGAAAAAAAAATCCAATGCAGAAAAAAAAATTTTTTATAGGTAATTTATTCATTACATTCATTTTGTTAGATCAATTTCTAATCTTCATTTTATTAGATGAAGATAGATCATATATTTTGTGTGCAAAGTGGGTGTGTCCTGTGGAATTCACCTGACCAGCTCTTAATAGATGACATTAAATTTATTAGATATTCATATATGCATACAATATTTTATTCCATCATATTAACAAAATGGATTTTTGTTCAATTTAAGTTCCTTTTTAAAATTTTAGTTTTTGTTTAATTAAGAGAAAAACTGTAAAATGAATTAGATTTTAAATATATTCTTGTGCGAGTATGTTTTAGCCATGGAGACATAATGGGTAATTATTTAAATGCAAAATAATGTTGGAAATACAAGTTGTCTTGTTTATATACCTTAGTGAATTAGGTTGCTTCAAATATTTTCAAAACTTTTTCAGATTACTGGGTAATGAAAAAATTATATAAAAAATGGAGTTATATTAATCAAGTCATTTTTAAAGTTATGTACCCCTTAGTTAAATTTGCCAAACATCAGTTTGTTGATAGAACTGTCAAAACTTCATGAAAATAACCACCTCCATGTAAAAAAAAAAATAAAAATAATACTTTTCTGCAATATTTTAAAAAGTATTATTTGTTTCAGTTCAGATTAATTAAATTTTAAATCATCTACTCATTTCCAAATAAAGTTTTAGAAAAGAATATTTTATTTTTGAAAGATTTAAAAAAAAAAAAAAAGAAAAGAAAGAAGAACAAAAGAAAAGAGAATTATGCTGTCTTAACAGATTTGTCAATATGGATGATTTTATAGATTTTACTGATAATAAAAAAAAATAATTCCAATCAATTTAAATTTGGTTTGAAATACAACAAAGTATTTTGCTTATTGGAAATATTAAATTTAATCTATTAGCATGGGGTTCTATATTAGATGGCCAAGTCATAATGTAGTGAAGGGATAGAATTGGAGAGTAGCAGAGTATATTAGTTTCAGTTTGAATTAGCTATTCCACCAGTTTTGTTTGGCTTAAGGAATTCAAAGAAATTTTTCTATATTTTTGGAATATTATTTACCTTTATTTAATTGAAATAAGTAAATAAGTAGAAGATTTATTTATTCTGAGTTGCTATATTATTTTTATGTAGATTGTAAAAAAAACAAACTTTTGGGGTTTGTAATTCACTATGCAAAAATGGTATTTAGGAATCTTGGTCTTAATTTTTTAATCTTTGAATTTTAAGCTTCTTATAAACATTTTTCACTTAAAGTTTATTAAGGTTCTTCTCAAAAAAGCAAATGCGCTTCACTTTATCCATGAGGTTTAGATTTTCTGAAGGCTTATTTTTACTGTAAAATTAAAATAAAATGCCACCCCATTATTTGTCAATAGTCACAAAGTTATTTCAATATTTTTCTTTGATATTTTTATTCATAAGAATTATTCATTGATAAAATTTAATTCTTTTATGAGTAATTTGTGTTTTTATTTTAAACTATTTTAGTTTAGTTTAAATCTACCATTAAAAAAAAAAAAAGAAGCAAATGTAATATTTTTGTATTACAAAAATGAAAAAAAAAAAAAAAAAAAAAAAAAAATGTTTTTACATAAATTTAATGACAATTAAATTCTAAATATTTAATTCAGTATTTATTTTTGATATTGTAAAAATATTGTGAGTGTGAATGAAACTAGTCTTGCTGCTCGGTCATTTTTCCAGGGTCTACCAAAGTTTTTAAAAAGTATGGTAAAAAAAAAGTTAGTTTAACAGTCTTTCTGTTAAAAGTTTATTCAATGTTCTTGGAAAAAAAAAACCCACAAAAAAAAAACAACAAAAAACAGTTTAACTTCAAAAATTAATTCTCTTCTTATCACCCTTGTTTCTAAAAGTTAAAAATGTTTGATTCTTTTTTTTACCACACTTTCTTTTTGTTGAGTCAACTGTGATGATTTATTTATTAAAATTAAAGAGAAAAATGACATTAATAAATAATATTAAAGTTAATGCCTAGTTTTTAACTGAAGTACGTCTTTTTGAAGATGATTTTTATGCTTGCTTTTAAATTTTCGACTTCAAAATTTATTGAAAATAAATTACCATTATTATTTCACAAAGTTATTTCAATATTTTCCTCTAATATTGTTGTTATTCATAAAGAACAAATGCATTCATAAAATTATTTTTATTAGTTGTGTTTTTCTTTAAGGTAAAATAAACAAATATTAATGTTTATTTTAATTTTTTTTAATTTTCCATTAAAGTGTAAAATAGAACCAAATGTCATATTCTTATTACAAAATTAACAAAAATGCCATTTAAGAATGTTTTAATTTACATAAAATGTCATATAATAAAATTTAATATATTTAATTTGATATTCTAAAAACATGGTGAACACAATATTAACCATGCTGCTGTTTGCTGCTCAGTAATTTTTTCAGGTTCTTCTAAAGTATTTATTTATTTACTCTAATCAAGCATGAAACTAATTTTTGACCTAAGAAGGCTAAGATTAAAATGCACTGCAGTGGATAGCTCCACCACATTGTCTCAAAAAATGCCCAAACCCTCTCCACTTGGCATTCCCTTTACAGGGAACCTCAGAAACCACTTTTAATTGAGGGGGAGGTGTTGCCTGGAAGAGAGCCAGACAATATCTGATCTTATGTTGACAAGTGCCAGAAATTTAAATACTTAACTCAATATTTAAAAGATTCTGTAATATTTTGCAAACCTCAAAACCAATATAACTCCCCACCACCAAAAAAAAAAATCAATTTAAAAAGTGGATTCTCAGGTTTAAGCCAACCATCTAAAATTTCTGTTTTTAATTTACTGGTATGTGGTGAGGAAAAAGTTGGGATTAAGAGTATAATTAATTTGGCTTGAAAAATTACCCCTAAATTGAAGCAGTAAAACAAATAATTGTGCTTAAGAAGCCTAATCATTTACGATATTACCTAGTTTCCATCAATACCCCGGAAGTGTTGTTGCTTGCAAAACAAATTACAGAAGCCAGAAATACAAAACTGTGTGTGAGTTGAATAAAATAACAGTTTATTTTTTCCAAAAGATGAGAAAGAGAGAGACTGATAGAGAAAATCAGTTCCAAATGTCAATCTGAATATTACAAAAACGGTTGTCAACTATTCTGGCCTTCAAATTTTGATAGCATAGAAGTTCATGGAAAAATGCAACCCAAAAATCCACCATCTGTATGGCTAGGTGTGCCAAAAAGTCAAATATCAACAGCTTCTGCTGTTCAAAGGGATATAAAAAAAAAACTCCAAACTTGCTGGAAATCAAATTGATGAAATGAAAGTTTTAGAATTAGATAAGATTAATTATACAAATTTGAAAGTATAATCAACAACAAAAAAAGACTGTGTCCAGTTGTAGCATTTTTGGCTGAAAATATTTTAACTGTTCAGTTGTTGAAAGTTATCTCTCTCTTTAGGTTGAGAATTTACAAAAATTTGAAGTTTGACTTTTGTTATGTATTATATTAGCAGCTTGTCCAAAAATTGTATAAATACAGTTGATACTTTGTCAACATTGGAAGAAATTATCTAATATTTAAATTCTATGGCTTTTGATCACAAAGATATCTTGAGTCAGTACTTTTCAGCAACAGTCCCCAAAATAGTTGGAATGAAATACAGCTCAGATATACTAATACATACTTTTGAGAACTATGCAACATCAGTTATTGTATTATAGATTAAGACAGGATTTTCAATGACCATCATTAGCAACATTAAGAAGGATGACATCAAAAGTTTCAAAACTTAATGAAAAATCTTTTTTGCTATCTGTATTTGATACTCTTAATGCCAGTCAAAAAGGGTGCATAATCCTCCATTATAGCAAACAACTATTTGTAAGTCAGTTGACAATCCATCTCTACTTGCTTAAACAGTACTTGGTATAATGTTGATATGTCTTAATGGGAGACTAAATTTCTTACAAGATTGATTCCAATTTTCAAATTATCATCAGCCTTTTTATTTGACCAAATTGAATTAACAGTTCAGGCCATTAGCTTTGTACCAGTTGATGCAAAGGATATATGTGATGGCAACCAACTAAATCAAGCTTTTTTTAAAATTATATACTACACTCTCTGAAAAACCTTGGTTAACTGAAGATAATAAACATTTACTTTTTCATTATGTTCATCTGTTGAAAAATATTCACAATTTGTGGCTTACAGAAAAGACAGAATTAGTCTTTGATGATAATGGTGTTGCAAAATGGGAACATCTTAAACAGTTATAGTTTTGAATCTGAAAGACTAATTAAACTTTCAGATTTAAATGAAATTTCTATTGCTCCAAAGCCCATAGAAAGACAACAGGTTTCTACTTGCCTCAGAGCGTTTTCAGAAAAAAACATATAATGCACTTAGTCTGAAATAAGTGTGGATAAGAATGATACTGTCATCTCCATAAACAAGGTTTTGACATGGTGAAAATTTTTTAAATGTTAAGACCCTTCAAATTGATAAACAACGCAATGATCCTCTACAAGCTGAAATCAGATTTTGAATTGACAGCCAATTTGATTTTATTACCGAGTTTGGTCAAATGGCTCTTAATATGGCTGGTAGTCAAGGTAATCGTATAAAACAATTATCCAAACACTCTGCTACTACCACACACCATACTTGCAATGGAATTGTCAGTCTATGTCAACACCTTTTAGTTACAAGTCACAAATATGTGCTACTTGGGCAATTTACAACTGATCAATTAGAAAAAGAATTCAGTAAACTTCGTCAAGGATCAGGTGGCAACTATTTTATAAATGTCCAACAGAAAAGCTGCATATTAAACAGACATCTTTACTTTTAAATCAAAATATAAATATTGATGCTTTTGATGTTAAGCCAGGTTACCAAATGTACATCTTGTGATCATAAACTTTGTGAGGAAGGTTCAGAAATATTTGACAATCAGGAAAATTTAGAACCATGTTCTTCTGATGAAATAAAAATGGTTCTTCTATACATAGCTGGATATATTACAAGAATTGATAATCATCCCAGTGAATATGAAAGCAATTTTTATTATGAAAAGTATGAAAAATATACCAATTCAATTGACTGTGGAAAACTAAAGGTTCCTTCTGACCACACTTGACAATGGTTTTTTTTTTTTGTTTCATCCTTTTCCAAACAAAAAAGGAAAAAGTGTGTTATAAAACTAAGTAACATTTTTATGCTTATTTCTACATTTCATTTTTTCAACATAGAGAGAAAGCATGCTCATATTTTTGCAAATATAGTTTTGAAAAACTCTTGCAAACATTACACACCCAGATCAGAGAAAGAACCAGCTTTAAAGGTTTTGAAACTTTCCTAGAATGATTTTGTTTTATCTGTCTATATTTCTGAGAGGATTGTCTTATACACATTTCGGCTGATGCCTTCCAGCCTTCTTCAGGTACTGTTTGTTGAATTCAGTGACTTTAGTGGAAATTTGAACTGGACTTTTTATTTAATCCCTGGGAAGTAGATTAAATAAAGTGTTCATTGAAAACTGTAAATAGTGTGAATATTTCTGTTTCAACATTATGTGGATCAAATCTTGTATCAGAAATCTTAACTACTTTGTTATATTATTTAATACTTATCAGTGTTCACAATAAAAATACATGTTTTCATTTATTTAACTGTCAACACATCTTATTATCCTCAGGTATGAGTGAAAATGTTATTCTAAGTATTTCCTAAAATACTTAATTTCTTTCAAAAATTTCTGAAACTCAAACATTTTTCAATAGCTCTCCAGTTCTAGCTCTCAGTTGCACTATGAGCAGGCCTGGAGTATAGTACACCATGGTTATTACCTAAAATAAAAGCTTCAAGAAAGATTTTTTAATTTTTAAAATGCATTTTAAACCTTATGTACCGCTTTTTTTTAAGGTGGAGAGGTACCTAGATATGTATTACTTACCTGCTAAACCAAGTTCCGTGAGATAATCTTTTTCCTCTAATGGACTAAAAAATGTCCCATAGACCATTGGGCCTAAAATAGAAACAAGAACAAATAATTTAAAATTTCAATGGAATAATGTTTTTTTTTTTATCTCAATTAACAACTTTAAATTTTGATTAGAGTTTTAGGAACAGTTTAGATGCCACAAAAAGGGAAATCTATTGGTAAAGTTGTTCAAATTTTGGGGTCACCTCATATCTCACTGACAAATTAAATCAAAGTCAAAGATCTAATACATCTGAATCAGGCACGATATTAAAACATCAGCATTTCTCTCCCTTAAAATTTTCCACAGTTTTTGAGAGGTAGGCATATGAAAATGTTTTTTATTTAATTTTATTTGTAATATGAATGCAAAGCTTATACAAATTTTTTAACCCAAAGAAATTCTTACTGATACATAAAACAATTTGTTTAAAATGATTTCAAGCAAATTCTAAGTTAAAATGTGGACTGAATATATTCAAATTTAAGTAATCTATTGTAGCTTAAAACAAATCGTTCATCTTAATTTGAAATCATGAATATTCTTTTGGGTCTTATGTTAAATTTTTTAGCAAATTAAAAAAAAAAAAAAAAAAAAAATCACCATTTACCAAAAATCTGCTCTGAATCGTAAAATAAAAAAAATACAACAAAACATTTAATTAGAAAAGGTTTTAACTGCTTTTATAAATAAGAAGGAGACTATTGTCTAAAAAAAATTTTTTTTTTGATGAATAATTAATTTTTACAAGAATTTTCATTTTAAAAAAATTTTAATTATAAAAATGTATTAAGTTTTAAATCTTCTAAAATTTCTGTATTAATTTTGGCACTTTTGATGTTATTAAGTGGAAACTATATTTACTAATCATAAATGGAAAAGCTTAATACAAATCATCAAACACCAATGTTTTAAAAATAATTTTGAATTTTTTTTTATTAGTGCAATTTTTTTAAGTGAGGGCAACCATACAGAACATTATCAGAAAATAAGAGAGATGACAATATTAAATCTAAAGCCAAAATTTCTAACATTTAAGAAAATATTAGTGAGAATATTTTCCTAAGTTTTTAAGATTACTGAGAACTTAGAAATTAAATAAAAAAAAAGAAAAAAAAAAAAGAAAAAAGGTGCTCATGTCATTTTTTTTCAATTATGTTTTACAGATAAAGTCTCCGTAAGACAACATTAGATCTGTCATCACCTTGTCAAATATGTCCACATGGCCATTGTCAGTTAAAAACACAGCTATGGCCTGATATTTTAAACTTAAAGTAAATCTTTTTTTCAAATCAGATTAATTATACTTTAAATCAGCTAATATTCCTCAAATAAAGTTTCAGAAAAAAGTTTTATTTTTTTTTTTTAAAAGGGTGCTAATTAGCAAAAAAAAAAAAAAAAAAAAATCAATTTAAATTAGTTTTTGAAATAGTACTAAGTATTTTGCTTATTAAAAATATTAAATTTAATCTATTAGCTTGAAATTAAAACTAAAATAAAAGCTTAGCAAAAGATTTTTCATTTTTGAAAATTCATTTTAAACCTTAGGTATTAACATTTTTTGTGGAGGTCCCTATTTTAAACTGTACTTTATTTCATCTAGTAGACTGAATATTCAAGAAATCTTATTAAAGAAAAATATGTCTTCCAGCAGGATTTGAACCTACATAATCGTTAGATCTGACATGCTTTAACCGACTTGACTATGAAGAGTGTTGCAATTAAGCAAGATTGTATAGTCCTGAAACACATCCTTTTTATTTGCATGTATATTATAAATAAAATACACAACTAAAATAGTTTTTTTTAACTTATATAAAGTAAAGAAAAATTCCTGAAGATGTTATTTCAATAAAAGTAAACCGTTTACAATATCAATGATGAACATAGAAAAAGCTGAAAATTCATCCCGAATTTTACCAAAATATTTTTCTTTCAGAATGAACAGCTAAAAAATAAATATTTAACTTAAGTAAGTATATTTTTTGGCTGTCCATTTAAATTAAAATTAATTAAGTCATTTTTTTGTAAAATAAATTTTATTTTACTTATTTTTCAGTGCGATTTTGAAATTTTTGTTACTGTTTTTCACAAGTAGTGTTTTTAAAGTGTAATTTTTTTTCTGTCCAATCTAGAAAAAAAATGTTTTTAATAAATTATGTAAGCTGAAGCACTAATTCTTAAAAAAAAAAAAAGAAAAATATAGTGAGTTTATATTTTTTTTTTATTAAATTACTTTTGGTAAAATACAGGGCGAATTTTTCGTATGATCTCACTCGATTCAACTTGACATGTTTTACTGAAATCTTCATGGATTTTTCTTTATAAAACTAAAAAAAAAAAAAAAAAAAATAGCCCCCCACCCAACACGAAATAATCGAAAACCACACCTGAAAATTTCATTTAAACCAAATATAATAAACTCCAGGATCTTTTGGCTAATATTTTAAAGTGGGGGGTAGCGATATTTTGCTTTCATTTCGGGAAAAAAAAAAGGATCCATTTTTTTTAGTGGTACCTAATAAAAATGGTGGGGAAAAGGAATCAGGTGTTTGTGGAAGCAATTGGTTTTTATTTCATCCAAACGACAAAAGAAAGCTCAATGGAAGAATTAACATTTATTAAATTTGAAATGCTAAGTAAAACTGACTTTACACAGAAATTTTTCTGCGACCTTTTTTTTTTTTTTTCCTTTTCTAAAGAATATTTTGGAAGTTCAGAGATGTTGAGTGTGAAGAGCAAAACAATCATCAGGTGAGAAATGCCACGTGTGCCAGATGTCGAATTCTTTTCGCTTTTTGGGAACAAAATCCGAACATATTAGTAAAATATTAGAAAATATCGTAAAAAGAGAAGTTTATAACGTACAAAAATCACTCTTTGATAAATATCTAAGTATTCATGGCCATAAATCTAAGAACTAAAAAAAAAAAAAAAAAAACCCCGATTTTTAAGTTTATTTTTAAAAATTGTATGAGAATGTACTTTTCGTCTTAACTTAAAAATAATTTAGCATAACATATATTTTATTTTTTTTTTATTTCCTGAACTTTTTTCTTGAAAAAAATGAATTAATAATTGACTTTTAAGGAGGAACATATTTTTAAACCGACTTTTTTTTCTTTTTTACAGTAAAAAAATTGAAGTATTCTTGCATTTTTTAAGTCCATAGCGGATTAATAAGAGATTTCAATATTTCAACGACTCTGTTTTCTAGAAATTTGAAGAAAATTCTTGTAAATAAACCAATTAACAATATAAACTTTTGCTTTGGTTGTTATTCTTTGTTTTTTTTTATTGCAAACGCAACGATTTTTTTCAGTTTTCATTTTAATTTCTACTGGAAATCAAAACAAAACCATTTTCACTTATTAATACAACTTTTAATATGCTATTTAAAAAAAAGCGACTTTAATGGTCATTAATATACAACAATAATTTGAAGTATTTTCATAGCAAATTTATTAATAGTCATATACTATTTTTTTTTTCTACCTACCAAGTACAGGACCTCTGCCGGCTTCGTCAATTCCGAGCCAACAAGCTTTTTCTTTGGTAACATCGGGTATTTCGGAGGTGATTACAAAGTTCTGAGTATTGTTATTCGTAAAATTCGAATAGTCCATGATAATATGCAAAAAAAATAATAAACGAAACCAAATACTGTATTATTGATAGACAAGAAATTATTTTCCTTCCAAAATTCCCTTTCCCGCGCAATTTAAACTGACGCCACTTCCGGATAAGGTGACAACCTAAACCAGTTCCCTTAGCAAAATACGGTTATTATTTAGTTATTTTTTTTTATAAATTAAATTCGATTTTTCATTTAAAAATATTTCCGCAAATTTTATAAAATTAAACTAACTTTAGTATCAAAAATTTAATATATTTAACTACATTTGTAAAAATGATGACCTTTAATTAAAGTATTAAACCCTAATTGTATTTTATTTTGATTTAAAAAGACTTTACTTAAAAGTGTATATAACTGTATATAGTTTTTACTTTTTAATAATTATGAATGAATTTAGCGGAGACTAATATTTTATCTTATTCATTTAGATATTATATTACACTATTTTTTTCAGTTGCTATGAGAAGTATTTAATCTTAGAATTTATTTTATATTTAGGACTGTCATCACACACTGTTTATCTTTATTTTAACCAAATTCATAGCTATGAAAAATACATTAAATTAAATTTATTTAAAAAAATCCAATTAAAAGAAATACACTAAAAAAATAATGGATAAAAACTAACATTTAGTGTCCTCACTTGAAACTACCGAGGGAATTCTCTTTGAGTATGTCTTTGTAGCAATCATCATCGCCATCACACACACATACATACAGATCATACGGCAAGCATTCATTGGCTAATCTCCTTAAAACTAGCTTGCTGATTGGTCAATTCCGACCAATCAAATCGTCTGCACGTGAGGATAATTTTCCCGCGTACAAGCCTTGGAGCCTGTCACGTGAGACACAACCTTATATAAACAAAACATGAATAAGCCTTTTTCATGTTCTCTTCATTTATCTTTTTCTTTGCTGCCAAGATGTAATCTTCAAGAGCTCCCGTCTTAACTGTGCGGTCAGATGTTAAAGAACATTGCCAACAATTCTTACCGACTTTCTCGCGAGCTGCCAGTAGAGTCCAGCTATTATCGCCTGTCCACACAAATCTACGACTTTACTCACAACATTTCAAATGCACACACAGACACAGATTTTTGTAACACATTATACATATCTCTCTCTGTGACTCAGCCAAGTTCATGAACCAGAACTCTATTAACTTCTCAAAACAACACATTTCTTAATTAACTGTATTCTATTCTAACAGCAGACTCTATTCAACATAGAATCCTGAACATTCTTATTCAAGAGAAACTCTTTCGAACATTCAATCATAAATCAGAATACATTTGAAGGGGAACAACTTTTTTCCTTAATCATTACACTTCATTGCATGATTGTTTTGCATGTTATATTTCAATATATATGTATTTGTTCATCCACATATGGAGTTTTGTTGTTTTTCTTGAATTGTTAAATGTACAATAGATATATGCGCTAAGAACATGCATCACAATTGGTGACCTCGACGTGATTCAAAAAAAGTCGCATCACATTTACTTTAACAATGTAATTAGAAGTAATATAGTTCAGTGGTAGAATTTTGGACAAAAAGCTGCCAAATGAGCAGTTCTTTAATTTATTATGTCCAATAGCTTTGTCTGCAAGAGTGAGTCTGTAGTGAGCATGAAGTAATAATAACTCCCTTCACCCACTTCCTTCAAAGGAGGACTGAGGACAAAGAAAAGAAATTTGCAAGCTTGTGTGGAAACCTTTTTTGGACCAATGAAAACCTTGCCTTCATAGAAATTAGCTAGTGAGCTGAAAAGAAGAAGGAAAGAAAATAGCCTACACAAAATCCTTTTTGATATAAAATGAGAAGAAAAATTAAATTAATCAGAAGAGTGTCTGAAGTTATGTGAAAGGTTTCATTTCTGTTCATTGTGTTTGTAGAATATGACTTCTACATTTCAGTGGATCACACCTAAGTTTCCTTAATTCTGTCATTTAATAACATCCTGATTGGACAATAAATATAAAAATTGTATTTTGTGTATCTTCACATGTAAAGTTCTTAAATCTGGTGTAAGCTAAGCACATATATGCTCCAAACCAAGTTTCAGCAACTGACATATTCTGATTGGTCCAATAATGCTAAGGTTATGTTTCCGCCTATGCACAACATGTTCAATTCAAAGATGCACCAAAAGGTGAAAACATGTTCTCGAGACTATAATGTGATTAACAAGTAAATAAATATGATACACTAGCACATTCACCAGTGAGCATCGTGACGACAATGCAATTGTCTACTAAAAACTACGTCACACATTCTGAGGTTAAAAGTTACTCATTGACATAATTCCAGTCTCCAGAACATTCACTCACTCAGTCATTCACACAGTAGCTTTTGTTCATTCTTCCAAGTGAATTAACATCTAATTACTCAACTTTGCCAGTGAGTATCATGACCTGAAGCCAGTTACTGAACAAATCCATGTCACTTTATCATCTGAAGTTTTAAAGTTACCTTTTAACATAATCCACACTTTCAGACATCACTCACTCATCTTCACATTGATTTCATTTATTACACAGCAGAGAATTGTTTAATATTTCAAGTTTTTCAATCACAGAATATTATTTTCTTCTGAATCTGCTCAAGCAATTCAACATTATTTCTTGGCAAAAATACTTTTACCACAACTTCATTTATGCAAAAATTACATTTTAATTTTACATCACACAAAACTGTTTAATTTCCACATAAACAAATTAATACTTTCACTAACTTTGTGAACTTTTCATCACAACAACTTAAACAATCTTTCACTTAAACTCACAAACTACATTCCAAACACCTCAAAAAGAGTTTATAAAAAGATTCAAACAAACACCACAAAGATTTCATTCACAAATCTTAATTTACTCCAGCATAAATCATTGTATTTCTTATGCTAAATAAATGAGAATTTGTTTGTTGTAATATAATATTGTTTTGTGTTATTTCTGATTTTTGTTCATTGCTCTGTCTTTTGTTGAAGAAATAATTAAATATGTTGAGGATTTATGTTATTTTGAACACGCATCAATTTCACTCTATGGATAATAACCCCAATGTTGCATTGAATACCTATCTTCTACACATCCATTATTGAAGTACTTGCCAGTGTAAAATTACTCACCAATTATATTACTGGCCTCTAACCACAACATTTCAAAGAATTTCCTCTCATCAATCCAAGAAAGCTAAGTATTTCAAACTATCTTTCTTCATCTACTTTTGAATGTATGTAAAGCATATATCCCTTCGGTGAGCATCGAATTCTCCAATTTTGTTCTAAACATTTTTTAATATTATTTTGTGTCAGATCATTTAATCTGTAATATTAACATTTTCTCTTCATGACAATACGTTAAAACTATGAACTTTAAGAATTCTGATTTATTTTCATGAAATAAGCTACTGACACTACTTCAAGTGTGTAAATTCATGAATAAATTCCCTATCTTGTTTTGGTAAAGTAAGCCATGTGTTTCTTCATTATTATCATCCTTCATTAATCTTCTTGGTATGGGTAAATCAACTGATTATTTTAACCCCTAAGCTCCTTGCCACTATAAATCCCAGTTATATATTTAACTTGGAAATAAGTCAAAAGATGGTTTGTGTAGCAAAAAAGCTTTAAACTTTTTCTCATAACCAATGCTGACAATCAGTTTCTTCTCTCTCATCCATGACACATGTAGCCAGTTCAACACAGCAGTCGACTATCTTTTTTTCCTCTTTGCCTTGTTGGTGCATTCTTTCCATTTTTATGTATCATTGACAGCCAAAATTTGCATATGTGCAAAGATAATCTCACGAGAGACTATCTTACTCTGGGATCTAGCTATTTTAAATGTGTAACCCATGAAGTCACCATATCTTTCTCCTTTGGATAGTTTATACCATGAGGCACATTCAAATCTTTGCTTGTGCTAGATGTATGTTATTTTATTCTTGATTTTATTTTAGCGTTGCAAAAAATACATGCAACTCTGGGCTTCTTTGCCCTCTGTGGTAGTTCACTACCCGATTAACAACTGCAAGGTTTTCATCATGTTCTCTACATGTCAGAAGATGCGCCACCAAAAAAAAAATCTATATTTTTGTGCAAGATCTCCAAAATTATAAGGACTTGAGTAGAGAAATTTTGTTGTTGGATACTTCATTGGCTACACTAATTGCATGCCTAAAACTAATACTATTGTAGGGATACAAAAGGTGATTATCTTCCTTTGGTTGAGATGAAGTCACATGGGTCATGTGACAGTTGCTTATTGACGTCATTTCATAGAGTGATGAATGTGGTAATCACTTAAACTGAGCAGTTGTTTTTTTTAGCCTGGGTCCAGGTTGAGGTTAAATCTGCCTCCCCTAGCCATCTTAAAAGCCCATAGCACCAGATAGAGAAACTATCTCCAGCTCACAATCCTCAAATTAAGGAAAAACCCATGACTCACCATTTTCTGGTTTGCAGAATATGTCCTCACGACTGACATAGCAGATAAATCTAGCCCACTTGAATCTGGAATTCTAAATATGGCTTCTCCAGAAACACAGAAGAATCTCCAGCAGCTCCAATTTCTGTTGGGAATTATTATTATCTCTTTTCTTTACCCTTTCATCTTGCCTGTTGTGTAAACATGTATTGTAGTTTCTCTGCATGTGACAAATGTAAATATCTGTATATAATTTTGTGGATTACTTAGCAGTATAAAACTCTCTCTGAGAACAAGGCATTTTGGTCATTTCTTTAATTTCAGCTATTTTGTTCTGGTCATGAAATAAGGTGTTATATCATGGATATAATAATGCTAACAATGGGGGAAATGGGAGAATATTCCTTTTCTCCATAGCTCACCCATTATCTGGTGACTATGCTGACAAGTGATATTATCACCCATTATTATAACTATAGGAACTTCTGAATTATTATAGCTATAACATTTTTAATAATCACTGTTGGTTGGCCAAAAAGGGGAAAAAAGAATTTTATT